GAAGTAACTAAATGAAATGAAAACCGTACAGCATGAATTAAAATTTGTCATCGACGCCGTTTGAAACACCATATATAGTTTGGATTAATTTGTTCAAAAAATCGCGAGGCTTGGACCCTGAATACAAAACCGAACGTTCATCCGTTGTTGGTTCTGCCAATTAAGAGCTTAAATATCAACTTACTATGTTATAATTTGACTTTTAAATTATCTCTTGGAGCTAAAGGCATTAATCTTTTTCGCGGTCCGTCAAGCAGCCTCTGGTTATTAAATAGGATAAAATAAAAACTAAAGGCATCTTTTGTCGATAAACCATTTGTGTTATATACACAATAAAATAATCTAGCTACCACATACCCCCGACAGCTCAAAATTGTGTAAAGTATCGTATCATATAACTTAACAAACGCGTGCGCATTCACATACATTGACGCCATTCTATGAGCGGGAGATGGCCAAAGTTTGCTCAAATACCAGCATCTGACGACAGGCATCGTGAGGAAGCTTGACCAGCTACTCATTTCGGTTATATTTTAAGCAGATTCGGCCCATCGGGCAATGGACTCCCGAAAAAGGCTTCTAAATAGCAGCGGAATACGGCAGATGGTCGACTAACGCCTGATTCACCTCAGAGATGACTCGATAGATCGCGTGTCAACCAAAAACGGAATCCGAATTTCTAATGGGAAGGTGCCATTTAGTCATTCTTCGAATTTCTGCTTTTACATGCGCTTCTTCAGAAACTAATTCAGTAAGAAGAAATTCGTGATAATTAATTCAAGACGGAAGAATGATACAAACAAGACCTCGAGATCTTGTTTCTATCATTTTTCCGTTTTGAATATATGATCATTTCGAAAAGAACAAACTTTAATAAGCAATCTTGATTATCATCTAAATTCGATTCAACAACTAAAAAAATTCATCACCGTTCTCACTTAGCAACCCAAAAGCCCGCGTAGAGACACAAAGAACCATCGTGAGTTGCCGAAAGGTTTTTTGGTCTAACTACAATTCATGGAAAATGATTAAGTAGTTGAGTTATTATAAATAATTATGAGAAGTTTAAACACCGATAGGCAGATTGAATTTACGCATCGAAATGGTCCGGACACTATACGGTAGGCACAAATGCACCTTGAACATCAAAAATAAATAATCTAATTTTATTAAGCGTCGAAACTGCGTTTGTACCCATAACAAAAGGATTGCGAGAAAAATTTTAGAATCAGAACAAATATAAGCTCAATAATATTTATTAGGATGAAATTTATACGCTATTATGCACTTAATATAGATAATTTGTAATTATTGAGCAAAAAATATCTTATATTCTAGCACTAGGCGAACATTACAGCGCTGCTCAGTACAAAGCTAAACGCAAATTATGTTGCCCGTTCGCAAACATTTCCTAGACTAGGGAATTTTCGGGCTGATGTTTAAATTTCTTGAGTAAATATAGCTGACGATATGCATGCTTTCAGACTAGAATACTGAACAAACTTTCACAGGCTCCGTAAATAAGATAAATTAGGGCTAAATTCTTCAACGTAAGCAGGTTTTACCTGACTTGAATTCTGAATCCAGACATGAAAGTTTATCTGAAATAAATTTTATTATTAATTTTTGTTCAGGTAATGGGAGTCGGTTTATTTTTGCCGTTTTAGTTGAAGGCGATTGACTTTTGCATATCAATGTAGTTAGCCGGAAGCTTTATGTTTGGTTATGAGATTCCACAATTTTTATTACATGATTACTCCTATTAGAGGAAAACATGTACCTGCAAAAAATCAGAAAATGTCTGTATATTCTCTTCGATTCGCTAAACTAAAGATTAATTCAAACGGTAATTAAACTGAAATAAAGGTCGTTCATGCAAAAGTCGAACATCCGAGACGCGCGAGGTAAATAAGAAATTGAACTGTTTAAAAAAATTATTGAGTAAAATATTTTAGAACTCTGTTTTTGTACTTCATTCTCTCTAGATACGATGGTCTAGGAAAAAATTTCATTAATTGCTCATATCATTGACAAATTCAATATAGATTATTTTTCTTTCTTAAATTCAATATAAATTATTTTTCTATCTTATTTCATACAAAATAGTTCACTTTCCCACAGTTATAATAATTAATAAAAAATCGTATATTTTCTTTTCAGCTTGTTATAAAATGTTATTGGGAACGGAGTGTAGTAACGGAAAGAGGCGTCTCATAAGGGAACTTCCATTATTCGAGGAAAAGTGTGTATCTCTCTTTCATGAATGCAAACGTTGAACGTTCCCAGCCAACTGTGGTTTCTATGATGAGATTTTATCAATAATATTTTTAGGTTTTTATTCTATAACTTTAATATATGTTGATTATAAATATCAAAACATAATATTATACATTACTTTTGAAATGTTATTTTGTAAATTTTATCTTTTTATCAGTAATCACATTGTCTAATCATTTAAATCATATCTAAATATTTGCACATCGTACATAAACATTAAAATTTCTCTATTTAACTCGGAAAATTGGCGTTCAATTTATGATTGAGATCAATAACGATTTTTAAAACGTCATCCAGAGCACATGTTATAAAATGATGTGAGACGATATTGTTCGAAATAATTAATTTAATTGTTGAATTTGAGCGTCACTTCAAAATCAAACTTATTGAACATCTCACCATTTTTTCAGTATCCAACACAACGACGTCGTACGTGGTTTCAGCCTCTTGATTCACATATATAATGAAAATTCTACAATCGAATATTCAGACTTTATATCGTATTAAATCTATTTTAAATCAATTAGATTGCTCCTGTTACTATTACTATATGAGTTGCCGAAGCAATAACAACGTCTGTTTACGCCCGGTTATTAACACCACGGTAGTTCTGTTGGCGTTATGTGCACAATTCTCGTGTTCTGAATGAAAGCTTCAATGCTTTCTCTCTGAGTAATTTTAAACACTGCGCTATTCACAATCGATTTAATTGAAGTATAGTTTTTGCCAGAGGCCTCACGAGACCAATTAATCTGTCGGTAAGAATTTCAAATAAATGAAAAATCATTAAAAGAGTGATTTGGGTAATTCAGAGTACTGATCTGACTCTTAATTTGACATTATTTCATTAAAGAGATCATCTCTGCCGAGTCGAATAAAAATTATGCTAATTAAAGAAATAATTTTTGGCAATTATCTTGTCAATAATTAAGATATGAACAGTGCTCGCGAATTTGCTATTTTTCTGCATCCGTCATCTCTGAACTCGGTACTCAGTTCTCAGTACTCAATTTAGGTAACAGCTTTCAGGCTTCACTGCTATGCAAGGTATATTTAGACGAAAATCTGGTCCAAGTTTCCAAGAGATACGTGCAATGCTTGTCAATTCTTTTATCAGTATTTTCGTTAGAATTTTAGAACCCATGTTCAGGCATACAGAAAAATTTTTACCTGCGGCATAAAATTCAGGATATGTCTGGTCTTAACTACAATACAACAAAGTAATATCAGTGAAATTAAAAATATAGAATAACTTTAAAATAACATTGAAGCAAATAGCACTAGATTGTCTTATATCACTATGAAGTGGGAATCTTTCTTGCAGCGCCATAATCGAGCGATGCTTGGCACTTTGTTGAGGTTTCGAGCACTCTAATGAAAGATTGCTTTCAGTCCTATTGGCTTAGAATCAATTAGAATTACTCACACAGAATAACTCAATTATAATTACTTAGAATTACTCACCGGCGTTTGCTTTTGATTATGTCAATCAATGTCACTTTAACCGCAACGAAATATTGACCCCAAAGCTGGTAGTCCTTGAGCCTTATCAAGATCTTGGAAATGGATGATGTCATCCAAATCTGCTGCTTAGTTTCTTATTTATTTCAGTGAATTATACAAAACCTGTGAATTATACAAAACCTCTACACCAGCGTGGCCTATCTCCATTTTTCTTAAAACTACATAGACGATAGATGAATTGGTTCCATAAGCACTTATTATCTCAGCGACAGGCTGCATATCAACGAACCATTACAGGATGATTCGATATTACAAGTTTGTTCTTAGCTCAGAGAGACAGGATAAGAAAATGAGATGACTGCCCAAAAATGATTGATAAATATATGCTAGTGCAACGTACTTTTGGTTTACAATAATAAAAAATATCATAACATGGGTGAATTATTTTCCTCCGCCAAACCTCACTAAATGTTTGTTTAACTTGTTATGGAAGAATCATCGCTGAGCAACGAAACTTTGTTATGAGCTACAGCTTGTTATGGAGGAATCGGTGCTTAGCGTGATGCCAGCTGATGTTAATTTCAGAGTGGGAGGAATGTTTTTTGAATTTCCGTTGCCAACACAAGCGGCTTAGTCGCTAAAAATAGTTTGTCGAGTGGCATTGGTTTAGAAAAGTTCCTTTTGCTCTTGAATGCGTGGGCATCTATGAAATATCACTTAAAATATCCAGTAAAGCTATAATTGGGAAAATTTTTACGAAAAATAATTGAACTGCCTAGAGAAATTCTAGAAATTTCGAATTATCATTTCGTATGTCACTATTTATAGTAAAACTTCCTCTCAATTCTCATCTTTTTTATCACTAGTGGTGAAAAATACACGATGTACAACAGTTAATTTCATTTCCCGTCTTAACTATTAAACAGCGTGGGCTTATTTATTTGAACTGAATTATTTTAATTGTCTCGTCGCTATCACACGTTTTATATTTCTTTAATCTCGCCGCTATCACACTTCTACGCTGAAAATTATGCTCTTTTAACTAAAGTAAAACTTAAGTTTTAATTAACTTAAGTAAGCATCGGGAGTGAACGGGATAAAAATTGAATGTCTGAAGCAATGCTGTTTGTCATTTGTTAGTCTATATCACATTTAACAATAAAAAAATTGTATCCTTAATGTAAAAAAATTAATAGCAACAGTATTAATCTAAAACGACTGTATTAGCCCAAAAAACACACAGCTATTTTAATGTTCAGTGCGGCCGCTGAGCGCGAAGATCAAGCTGCCGTCCGAGGTGTTGGTGGCGGGCAAGACATACTCGTTCAGCTGTGAGAGTCACGGGTCTAAGCCTTCTGCTGTCATCTCCTGGCAACTCGACTCTCAAGACGTCGGGACCACGAGCGCACGAACTGTACGTATAATAAATAAATATGATTATTGAGAATTGAAATTATTATTAGAATTATTTTTATTGCTTTATTTTATTATTTGCCAATGCCGCGGGCTTGGCCTGAGCTTGAGCCTGTGAATACGCTTTATTGAGGCCTCCAATGGCGCCTGGAAGAGCGAAAAAAATAAATAATAGCTATTATATTAAGATAGATTCCTCATATTATATTGATCCGAAATAGCACAGTAGATGCGTTTTCCTCATAACCAATACTTCTCCACAAATTTCCATACACTGATTTGTTACTTACAAGTTGAAATCAATCGCACTCGCACTCGGTTATGCAGTGAAACAATCCTCATATGATTTATAGGTATCACATGCACAGAATTATTCCACGAATTTCAACAAACCATAACTCTTCAAGAACGTTTAAGATGCATTTATTTATTTGTACAAATTTCAGCTTCCCACGCGTAGGAAGGAACTAAATATTTAATTTTTCTGCTGTGTATTGATATTCCCTTTTGTGGAAGATTGGCGAACACTCGTGGATTGGCATGATTCATCACGACTTTTCCTCCTACGCAGACGCTTAGAACTCGGGAAAAATATTTGACTTTTTGCACCCGCCTACATGGATAGAGATCCGCTTCACTGACATTTGCTGAAAGCTTTTTCTTATGTTATTTTCCTATGATTTTTTAGGGACACGAATTCCCTGTAATAGCCAAGGAAATTTGAAAATTTGTGTCAGAATAGGTAACATGAATTTCAGTCTTTTGTTCATTCACTTGCTAGAGTTTTGATCACTATTTCCCTGTTGGTACTATATTTTTTTGAGATTTATGTGGCCAAAATTATCAACAAAAAGCCATATTATTACTAACAATGGTATTTTGTTATTATTATGTACCAAATAATAATAATAAGGAAGAGATTTGTTTTTCAATCTGTATTCATGATACACTAAGCTAGTTCTAATTTCAAAATTTCAAATTAAAAAGCTGTAAAACTCTTTTTTTATTTGGTTATGAATGAAGTTGCCTTCAAAACGTCATAAATTATAATGAAACGACCCTTGAAAACCTGATATTTGAATTTTCAATTCCCATCAAAAGCCTAATTCGCCAAATAGAGAAAAATAATAAAAATGTATTATAATATTCATAAAAGAATAAAAATTCATAAATAGAAACATTTTCATTAATAAATTATAAAAATAAACACAAAAACCAAAGTAATTTTTTTGGAACACTTCTCTTTAACTTCAGTTATTATCTGCTACAAATCTTATAATCAATATTTAACACACTTCTACCTGTCCAATCGAGCTGAAATTTTGCACACTTGCGTAAAGTCGGAGACATGCATGAATCAATTGACAGAATAAATAATTTTGAACATTTAATTTTATTTAATAATAAAATATCAATTTTTTATTAATATATGAAAATAAAATTAGAAATTTATTGTACTTGTGTAACATCAGAGACTCTAAATCCTTTCGAAGTGTTGTCTTTAAAAAAAATTTTATACGCATATTATTAACATTTTGGTTGTGCCCTGATCAGCACTCGCCGAGTGAAGATGTCACTACAGGGACGCTCTCCCTGACGCTCCACTCTTCTGACAACCAGAAAGTTCTGCTCTGCCAAGCTCAGAACCCCAGTATTGCCGGTAGCACAATATCCGACACCGTCAAACTCGATGTCCAATGTGAGTACTTCTCGTAAAATTGCCTTTAAGGCTCAGTTCAGTGAATTACAATTTGTTTCACTTTCTTTTTTATTTCTTTTCACTTTTCATCTGTTAAACATTTGCAGAATGTTCTTATTCTGACTTTTTTCCTTTGCTGCTTTAAGCGTCTACACTATTATAATATTTTCAGCTATCAAATTAGTAACTTATTTCTGCCCGGATTAATGGCATTGCAAGTATTCATGGTTGCTTTCAAAGCAAGCACCACTTGCATTGCATCTATATACGACCATGTAACTTGAATAATTTGTAATATGTTCAAATGTCAAACGAGCGATTATTTTCTGAATAAAACGTACCAAAATGTATGCGTATATTAACCTTTAGATAAAATTGAACAGAATTTATATGAATTTCAATGCCACTTTTAAATTTAATTATACTTATCGTTAAAATTTGTGTGATTTCTTCTCTTAAGTCCAATAAATGTTTTATTTCGCGCATTTTTCAGTCTCAGTGACTTGGAAATGAAGAACTGGAATGCAGTTCAACAAAACAGCATATTTAAACGAACAATAATTGCATTGCTACCATCCCCAACAAATTCTCTGTCGCTTAATTCGCTTCTGAAAAACATACACTGAGAGTTCAGAGACGTCGCTATTCGATAACACACAAATTGCGAAGTTATAGGTTGTAATAAATTATAAAAAAATCGGTGCACAAAAATTTAAAAAAAATTCGGTCTCGCGCAATGTTCAAGACTACAGATTATTCACCAAGCAAACGTTGAATTCGACGTCCTAAGTGCCATCAAGTGTCAATTATTCAGCTAACAATACTGGCATCAAAATTAATAAAAAGAATCCATCTTCGCTGAAATTTTTTGCCGAGTGAATGCTGCAATAATAACGAATTTCCCAAGAATTAAAATAGACGTATTCTGACACATCAAAACGTATGAGCGTTGTTTGTCATAATATACAACTATTAATAAATGTTACTATAGTGATAAAAAAAATCCAAAAACCTACATATTAACCCTCTGACTGGTGACGGTAACTTTCTTTACCAGGTCTTCGATACGAATAGCATTGACGACGGTATCCGTAATAATAGTGGTTACATTTTCTTTACCACCCTCGTCACTCGAAACTCAGACTTTTTGAACCTAAAAATTCACGCCGAGTCAGAACTTTTTCACGTTTCTATCAAATAACCGCTTGATCGCAACACTCATAATAAGCAAAACGTTTCCAATCTAGAATACGGTTTCTAGAGTTGCCAAAACAAACAAAACGCTTCAAATCTAGAATACGGCTTCTAGAGCTGCCAAAACAACAAAACGATTCAAATCTGGAATACGGTTTCTAGAGCTGCCAAAACAAACAAAAAGCTTCAAATCTAGAATATGGTTTCTAGAGTTGCCAAAACAAACAAAACCCTTCAAATCTAGAATACGGTTTCTAGAGCTTGCCAAAACAAACAAAACGCTTCAAATCTAGAATACGGCTTCTAGAGCTGCCAAAACAACAAAACGATTCAAATCTGGAATACGGTTTCTAGAGCTGCCAAAACAAACAAAAAGCTTCAAATCTAGAATATGGTTTCTAGAGTTGCCAAAACAAACAAAACCCTTCAAATCTAGAATACGGTTTCTAGAGTTGCCAAAACAATCAAAAAGCTTCAAATCTGGAATACGGTTTCTAGAGTTGCCAAAACAAACGAAACGCTTCAAATCTAGAATACGGTTTCTAGAGTTGACAAAGCAAGCAAAACGCTTAAAATCTGGAATACGGTTTCTAGAGTTGCCAAAACAAACAAAAAGCATCAAATCTAGAATACGGTTTCTAGAGTTGTCAAAACAAACAAAACGCTTCAAATCTAGAATACGGTTTCTAGAGCTGCCAAAAGAAATATTCTCATATATGTATTTTCATTTGTAACCAGATGCTACTGACGACTTAAATTACGCCATCAGTACAAAAATATTGATTCGCATTTTAACTAAACAAATTTTTTCATTTGTAACCAGACATGCCGGTAGTGGCGCTGCAGCTTGGCAGCAGCCTGGACCCCAGTCAGATCAAACAAGGCGACGACGTCTACTTCGAGTGTCTGGTGGACTCCAACCCTGCGCCCTACAAGATCGCCTGGTTCAGAAATGTAAGTTTATGCTACGTTATAAATTTAAAAAATATAACTCAGCACTCACTGCAGTGAGTGACAGAGAGCGCATTTTCTCGTCGACGGAAACTTGAGGTCATGGACGGACGGACAGACGGACGGACAGACAGACAGACGGACATGGCGAGCACAATAGTGCATTTTTCCATAAATGAGAAAATGCGCTAAAAACTAATCTGCAGCCTAAATCTGTCTTATTAACTACGGCGCTGGCCATCGATGTAAAGAACGTGAGTTTAACTATTTAATTTAAAAACTAAGTTTTTCATTTCTGTCGTTGGACTATTTTATTGTAGCCATTTTTCAGAAGAGGTTGTGGATGCGGTAATTTGAAACACGCGAGATAAATGTTGTTTACATTACAATCAAGCATATTTGGCTTTGTTTATGTAGTTCTTATTATAGTTCTTTCGTAACTATGGAAAACTTGAACAAAATTCAACAGCAATATAAGCATGCATTCAAATGAAAACTTCCAAGCTGTGGCTGAGAAGTGTTTTCAATTTATAGAGAAGTAACTTTTGACTCATTCCTGAAAAAAATTCAGTTCCATTAATTCAATAACTACTCTTCTATCTTTTATCGGCTCCAAGTCAATTTAAGGTTATTTCAAGTTTCTCAGTAATACTAAACTCGTTCACCCATTGAAGACTTTACGAAGCTAAGCCACATTAAACCATATTTAAGGATAACGTCATGCCTTTGAAATGCACGAAAGTTTATCAATTTTACAGCCCTAGATAGCAGACTTCACACAATACTTGCTAAAAATTGCAGGTTCAGGTGCCAATGAAACGCAGTTAACAGAAAACTAGGCACTGCGATTGATATTTTACGGCTTTCAAGACTAAGCTGCTGTTTGTAGTACCAACCCCGTTCCTTCACTTAAGTCTAAAATAGGCTGGCCTAAAATACATGCTCTTTACGTAGCGTGTATTATGACTTGCGTCTGCATAGCCGAACACGCAATGGACCGGCAAGAAAGTATTCGACTCAATCCACATCATACTGAATTAATTTTTAGGTCGAAGTGTCGACACCATAATCGTTTGATACTCGACACCGACCATCATTACAGGGCTTTACGATATGTAACCTCTCTTGCCGCTTTAAATCGACTTTGGGGCCAAGGTAGCTTTGACGCGGGTGTGTAGCTTGAGCTGATGAGGTCCCTTGCTTTCCCTGCCTTTGAGGAAGCACTAAACACAGCCGAGCAGGCAATTTATTTCCCTTTACTGCGGGCCGTCAGGCGCCATGGCACGGAACCAACCGCCATGTTGCGCGCACTTCTAAGATTTCACTGCCCCTGTTACGCGGCTACGGTGTTGCAAAGAAAGACACTCCGTAGAACTGAATAAAGTAGCGCGTGAAAAAGATTATGGCAATGGCTGAGAAACTTTGTGACATTCTTTTCTATTTAACGTATTAAATGAATGACAAGTGATGATAAGTTCCGATAACGTTAGAAAAATAGTCAAATGGATTTTTTACCGTGAGATAGGGGGTTATGCAATAATTTACTAATTTGTAAATTTGTTAGTGAATGCGCCGATTTTGTTTTCGGAATAATAAACTTGATTTTGTGCGTTGTACGAAGTTAGAATCAAGGTACAGATGCGTGGTTATGTCGTAATAGTAATGAAATGGAAATTTTACAGACATCATTGCGAAGCTTATACTTCAAAGATGTTCAAATCAGAATTTCAAGCAGACGAGATTTCGCTTCACAAGTTTAACCATTTCTATAATTTTTTACCCGTGCTTCCAGTTGAGCAGAAAGAGTTCCACCATTAATGATTTTGAATTATTATTGATTTTTAACGAAATCGCATTCAAATCATTACATTCAAGGCTAGATTTAGCGGTATATTAATTCCTGCCTGGAAAATCGAAATTTCAGTTCTGTTTGTTTGGAAAATTAAAAAAATTGTAGTCTGAGAACATTTTTAATTTTGCGTACATAAAAATCATGCGAATATCCCCAATATAGAAAATTGTTTGTAAACATGTCATTCACGCCCGGAAAGACATTTACACATTTAGTGAATTTCGGGAAGACATTTACACATTTAGTGATTTAGTGAAAAAAAATTCATCTATATCTCCCGAGTATAGCATTATTTTGACTATGCATTCTTCTATCGGAATAGCATTCCAATGGCTACTTGAATTAATAGCTAACTTGCGGTATCACTGCAGAATTTATCGACGCTGATTGACGTATTTCGGCCTCAAATAACGCAGTAATGTCCATCTAATCAAAGCAAGAATCTGCAGTCACGAATTAATGCGTGTGCAAGTCTCATACAGTAATATCCATGAGCTATACATTGATCAATGGCCACAAGATTAATGTATCATCCAGCTAACTCACGCAGTAATGTTCACAGATTATTAGCTTGCGTGACCCTACATGAATTTATCGAAATTCCTCAGCCTTCTTTGGTGGTTTCTTAAGACTGTTAATCATCATAATTATATCGTTCAGAAAGACGTAAATCATTCTGAAGCATGTCATTATTAGCGTTCCTTGTCGACCGATTGACTAAAAATAAATCTTAACGTTTTTAATGATTGCACCACAAAACCACGTTATTTTCAGTATTACATTTATTGATTTAAATATTTATTTAGCTTTTAAATCATGTGCAAAAAAATTAGCAGTTTTAACTCCCTAAAAACATAACATATGTTTTCTTGTGTAACCAAGTGTATTTCAAGAACCATTCCTTCGGGGACTTTCATACATAATATCATATGAATCAATCACAGATTTAAGTATTTGTACATTTATAGCAAAATTTATCCATGATCAAAGAAATTACTTATGAATTCAGTCAATCGCTCAATCAGTAGACTGACTTTTTTTGCACCGAAACATCCGTTAAGTATTTTATAACTCGCTTAGACTCGATCTATTCAGATACCTAATTTAACTAATTTAATATAAAAATCAATACATTTCAAGTACCATTATGATGCTAACGATATTTTACGAGAGTTGTTTAACCCAACAATCAGTCCGATATACGAAGACAATTCTCTTTCAGAGACAAAGACGAATCCAAAGCGTGTTCGTAAACACTGGTAGGCAAAGAACAGCATATCTCTTTCCTGAAATATATTGGAAGGTCTAAATATGAATCAAATACCTCAGATGAATTCAAGAATCGCTGCAACACATGATATAAATATTGTATTTGTATTATCATAAATTCTCATATCATCAAATTATATTCACAAAATGCATATACCATAAATTATAAATGTCAGTATATTAACATTAGCGTATATTCCATAGAAGCTAGGTTGGAGAGTTCTGGCAAAGTCCACACAACGTACGCCTTCATCATGTTCAATGAATGTTGTTCTTTATTCTCAATTTGCTGCGCCCTGATCAATAGCATACGACAGTTAAACAATTAAAGCGTCAGGAAAAATTTATCCACGTGTTTTCGTTGAATTGTTCTCATCTGCAATGTAAATTTTTTCATCTTACTCTGTTAATTGAACGCAGAATAATTTCAGTGTTGGAAAGTTCAAAGAGCAATGCTGCATCATTCGGCCTATACAATGTAACGTCGTAAGAGTGTCACTTTCAGAACAATATAATATTATCATTGATACATGAATTTTGGCTTTAGGATATTAGGTTTTGTAATTTTCGGGATTGAAAACTCAACAAAATATAAATACTTCTGTAATTGTACCGTGGGAAATTTGGCTAGCGTTTTCCAAGTACATATCAACGAAAAGAAAATTTTAAAATCAAAGTCGTTAGCACGCAAGGATACTGAAGAGTGAGACAGGCCTAAGCACGCTAGAATATTGAAGAGCGAGACAGGCCTAAGCGCGCTAGAATATTGAAGAGCGAGGCAGGCCTAAGCAAGCAAGAATATTGAAGAGCGAGACAGGCCTAAGCAAGCAAGAATATTGAAGAGCGAGACAGGCCAACGCACGTATGAATATTGAAGAGCGAGACAGGCCTAAGCACGTAAGAATATTGAAGAGCGAGACAGGCCTAAGCACGCTAGAATATTGAAGAGCGAGACAGGCCTAAGCAAGCAAGAATATTAAAGAGCGAGACAGGCCTAAGCACGCTAGAATATTGAAGAGCGAGACAGGCCTAAAAGCTCCCGGTAATATTAAAGGGTGATATAATATTTGCACCCATGATCATTGAAGGGTATTTGAAGACTTACACGAACAGTCATTATTTATTCGGTGCACCGAACTTGCAAGTAAAGACATCCCCAGCGTGTCATTTACGTCGTAAAGAAACACATTCGATTTACTTTCATTCTAATACTGTATTTTCCGCGCTGAGTAACATATCTATTCAGAAAAAACAGAGCATGTGGTCTCTAACACGCATGAGCAAAAGGTCGTGCATTCATAAACCACGAATTATTGCAAATGCATAGCCATGCTTGATCCGGACGTCGGTCTTGGTCCAAACTATCGCACGGCGTTGTGTCGTGTTTGCCGAGGACTTTTGTCTTCTTTTAATTGCTATTTACGAGCTTTGCGCTGACGTGATCGATGCTGATGGTAAACAAACGACCCACGGCCCGTGTTTGCTCCACGATCACTATTGGTCTCAGACGTCGCGCATGCAATGATAACTTGGATCAATGATAACTTGAATCAATGATAACTTGAATCAATGACAACTTGAACCAATGACAACTTGAATCAATGATAACTTGAATCGAAGTCCGAAACAAGGAATTCTTGGAAATTTGTATAGAGAAATTTCCTGTAGCTGTGATGACACTGGGACACTGGGTAATATATTCACGAAAGTGTGACCTGGGGCTATATTTAAGAAAGTTGATATTGTGATTACAATTCCCGCTAAAGGAAATCAACAAATGGAAGGGCAAGTGATTATTATTTCTACCTTAGTAAGAAAACCTGACATGCAATACCATGTGAAAAGCATAATTTGTACGTGAATTTTTTTTAATTTATTTCAGTACATCATTCAATGTTTCATGCGACATTTCATAAAACCACTGGATTTTGCAGATAAAATATCAAGTACAGTATATCAATGACGAGTATGAGCTTCATCAGAGAACATTTATGGTACGCTATTTAATGTTAAATAAAATTTCTGAAAGTTTAAGGTATAACTTAAACAGTATAAACAATTTTATCTGAGGGTCTAAAAACTGTCCAGAATATGCATGTCATTATTTCATGATGGTTTCAACTGACTGTTGTTTCTCCTTAGTTTAAATTTTGTTAAATTCGTTGCTGCTAGTGCCGTCAGGAATTTCATGACATGAGAACGGATAATTTACATAAATTTGAACAGTCACTGTGTGGAACCCGTCACCAAATATTCATGGTACGAAACCGAGTTATGTTAATCGACTGGAACGTTCTCTAACTTTTTTAATTGCTAAGTCAGTCACAAATCAATGCGCGATTATACAGTCACTGTGAACTGTGACTGTCACTGTGAAAGAATCGGCGACAGGCCACATCAGGCCTACGCTTCAGCGCCGTGATCACTATGTTATACTGTCGATATTATACTATCAGTGCACTCGCCTTAGAAGATGCACCTATAATATATAATTACACTTACTTAAGGTGATGGATTTATAATTTCACTTGCACTTATCTCAGGAGACGTACCTATACTGGTATAGCTGTGCAAAAGCTGTTCTTTAATTCAACTTATATAATTATAATAACAATTATACTAGTATACCATGCAAAATTTGTTAATTTATACATGTTTGATTGAAGACCATTATAATAAGTTATTAATTAAACTTACACTTACTTACCCAAGGACCAGGAGATCGTGCAGAACATGTCATCAGGCATCCTAGTGACAAGCAAGAGTTTGGTGCTGCAGAGCGTTAGTCGTGGCGGTGCTGGCCAGTACACTTGTGCTGCCACCAACACCCAGGGCAACGCTACCTCTAACCCCGTCAAACTCGCCATCATGTGTGAGTTACGTCTCTTCTTTAATGGTGTTATATTTTCTTAATAGTATTGTTTATTATGCTGATTTTACTCATTTATACCCAGAGCTGGGCAGCGCTACTTTGAAATGTAGCGGCCGCTACCGCTACCGCTACATGCTCTAAATGTAACGGGCGCTACCGCTACCGCTACAATTGCTTAAATGTAGCGCCGCTACCGCTACTGAAAATGTAGCGCCGCTACCGCTACCGCTACTGAAAATGTAGCGGCCGCTACATGTAGCGCGCTACTGCTCACCTCTTGTAACAACTAACATGTTGACACTAGTAACAGGCTGAGATTGAAAACATTACACCGAAATCTTTCGTACAGTTTTATTCTGTAATTTATAATATGTATGTATCATGCTGGTTTTTAAATAATATTTAATACTATTAGTATTAATATTAATATTAGTTAGTATTAAATAATAGTAAAATCTAAAGGCTTTATCTATAAATGTAGCGGTAGAGCTATAGCGGCAAAACCTCGTATCGCTACTTAAATATGTAGCGGGCGCTACCGCTACCGCTACATGTAGCGTATTACTACCCACCTCTGTTTATACCCAAGTTGTGAGTGTTGGGTTCTGAGTAGCTATTTTCGCACTCTACCAAGCAAAACAATTTAGTGAAGAATTCATGCCTTTATATGTAATAGTAATTTTCAGCAAATATTGGCAAGTAAATCGCTGCCTTTATTCTGCTCTATGTTTTTAAATGTAGACATTTTTAAACATTCAAACACGCAGAATTTTTTCTCGACCTTGCATAATTAGTGATACGTACTTCGCAGGAAGTGTAATTTTTGTTCACATGGAAAAAAGATCGTTGCAAGCAAAGAACCAAACTTTATCACTAATTAAGTTGTATGCCCAAGCTTGAATTTTTTCTAAGTTATGGGTTTTACATTGTCCTAATGTTAGGAATTATTAATATAGAAACGCTTTATATCTGAGTCAATTGTTAGCTCGAGCAAAAGTCTGACCAAAAGTTTACTATATAATATACAAAGTCACCTTCTTCATAACATTAGTCCTTCACCAAGGCAAACTCAAGAATTACTTTTTTCTAATTTTGGTTCATGTGGATAAGAGCGGCTCGTTTGCTCAAAGCTTATTACGGTAGCCGGGGAACAAACAAGAGATCTTAGCTGCGAGTAGAAGTAAAAGTGTCCACGGTAATGAAATTACGACCTACAACGAGAGCTATCGAGCATACGTACAAGACATGCTCTGTTTATTCCTTTTAATTCAAACATTCCTACACAGTTTTATTGTAAGATGATAGTTCAGATGATCAATTAAAAGTGTGATTATTAATTAAGTTTTACTTCATATTAAAAGTAATTATGAACTCTATAAATAATTGATTTTTCCAGGGATGTTATTCATTTTCATGCACTGTTTCATGGGATGAAGCATTCAATTTTACCGTCTATCCAAATATTACAAACTTTTTTATCAATAACGAAGAAACTGATAACCTGTAAACCAAGGCATGCAAAAAGCTCAATTATAAATCAAGCTGATCGGGAGTTCAAATGAATCATCAAAACGCTCCAAATAAACTCGAAATTCATCAAATGAATATTTATTTTCCAATCGACGCCCCTCCTTAAATAAACAAACCTCATCAAAAATGGATGTTTTATCCGCACTAATTTGAATGTACCGCGACATTGTTTCGATAAATTTAAATGAGTGTTTTGATGAGCCACTGTGGTGTTCACGCGATCAAATGCAGCGCAAAACAACTCTTTCGTCAGGCTGCAATTGCATTACAAATGTTGCAATTACATTACAAATGTCAGGCTGAATAGTTTGTTAATTCATCATCAAGCGATGTAATTAGCAAACTATTCTGTTCTGAAAACTTCATTAACTGGACCATTTTCCGTCAGCTTTTTAATTAAACCTTGGTAGAACAATTCAAAATTAGGAGCTCGCAGAGGCGGTGCATGTACATTTTTGCCATTGATGGATGCTAGCATTTTTTAAATGTTGACATTGCTGAGTGCACTGAAAAACTGATTATCATCAAGATTAAAGTGTTAAGCAGCTTCTTGTTAGTGATAATTTTGATCTAACCTAATAATTATTTTTGCGATTGAAATATGTTTGCATTTTTTAAATGTTAACATTGCAGAGTGCATTGAACACCAGAATATCATCAAGATTGAAGTGTAAAGCAGCTTCTTGTTAGTGATAATTTTGATCTAACCTAATAATTTCTAACCTGATGGCGTGAGTACGATACTATATAATACCAATATTGATTCGAGTGAAATATTTCTAGAAAATTGCTGAATTAATAAATTCAAGATCCGCATTAATTGTGGAACGAGCAGCATTTTCGGCTCATAAGCCTTTCTAAAAACTGCGGAAGCATAAATCAATCTTCTAAAAGTATAGAATCACGGTTGAGATTTGAATTATTGCATCCAACCTTAAAGAATGATATTGTCTGGCATTAGAATATCAACTTCAGTGATCAGGCCTAGGGGAAGATTAGGTCTCTTGATGCCTCCTGAGCGCTGCGTTATCTTTGACAGGGTCGACGAAGAGGAGTTTCCTTTCTTCCTAAAAGTTCGAGCTCCCCATGCAGGGAACATATTCCTTAATACCTAAATTATAGAAATGTGATTATTATTACCAGAAATGGCAAATGGCATTACGAAGCTATAAAGTATTCAAATAAATTTTGGATCATTGATAAATCAGTTTGTTGTTTTTATCTCACATCTTGATGATGCACAAATGATGCACAAAATTATCTCTTGATGATGCAAATTGTTTTTACCGTTCCATTACAAAATTGCATGTGTCTTAGGCTTCAAAAATGTACGGAGTGCGACTTCTACTCCTGCTTCGCATTCTATTACATACCTACTGATACTCCTAAGCGTGTTCAATTTTTCAGGAGATTTAGGATCACATTATATTCTGCAAATAATTAAATGCCAAATTTACGAAGATAATCGAAAAATCGGCAAGAATTTAAAATTGAAGAGCGTTTAGCGAAAAAAGGAAACTTTTGTAGCCGAATGAACCATCATCTGCGCGTTCGAATACAAAAATAACATCACAACATAATTAATCAATCGAAAACTCTGAATAGTACAACGACATTCATTTACCATTTTCAATTCTGAAGAGCAGGTGCAAGCTTGTCAATAAAGCTCGAGGATAAATAATTTCGAACATATGTTTTCAAACGAACATTTCGCTCCGCAATGCATTCGCCAAGAACAATTTCTGGTCAATGAACGGTTATACCTCAAGCGACAGCAGCTCGCTACATGCAAACAAAGTATAGAGCAGCAACACCCAGAAGTTTAAAACCAGCTCTATAGTTCACGTCACTTGTACAAAATAATCTCTTTGATTAGTATTCAACTTTACGACCAAAATTTTATTTGGTTGTGGAGTATCATGGCCCAATAGCTACAGCAATTTGTCGTAATCTCGTGTTATAATTTTATCTAGATTATTGGGCCTACTACCTCAAAACTAAAATTCATTTGGTGCAAAAATTTAAAACTTGAATGTAGCTGTTCAGCTATATCGAAACTCTTTCACAATTTTCATAATTATTCATCGCCTCAAATTTCAGCGATGATAAATTGATTACATTTTCTTCATTTTCCGTTGCTTCCATGCTTAGTCGACATCGGACTTTTTATGAGTTCAACTCTTAGGCAGCAACGAATCAAACGTACGTTTCCAAACAAACTCGATTTCTCCAACCTCTAATTTTTATGATCATTTGTGAGAGCAGCTCTACAACTAAACTCTATTGAAGAGCTAATTTAACTCCAGATTTCCTAAAGCAATGAATGTTGACTCAGCGTCATTACTAAGAACAGCAACTAATTTCAGAAAAGTTAAACTCTTTATATTCGAAGTCTTAATAGAGAAATAAGTAACAATATTCACGATGCACTCTTAATTGAAAGGCCCAAGCAATTTATGACGGAAATACGAATGAAGAATCACCAATTTCATCATGTTATGGAAATTCCACATTTGCGTTAAACATCAATATTGTGAGTAAGAAAAAATGTATGGAATGTCCTCGGTAATTTTAAGAAATATTCTATTGTAGATAACTTGAGTTAACTCTCTCGTTATCGATCAATGGCCGAAACGACGGCAAAAACTAAATATTCCATTGACTGTAAGCATTTGATTACTTAAAAGCCTACCCGTAGGCTTCAATCCCTCACAGCCTTTTTCCGAGATTGCTAGACTTTCAAAACTTTTGGTTGATGTGACTGTGATAAAAAAATTGCTGAGTGTGGTAAACCTTCTGGAAAGGCAAATGAATAAATGAAAATAGATGAATGAGAAAATGACGCTAATAAAATAAATAATAAATTTTGAAACATTTGATGTTTTTTATTGTATAGATGGTCAAGTTTCTGCGAACAATCGGTTTTGTTATTTTTCAACGCATTCCACGTATATGCTATGCAGCATACAGTAGAACATGGCCAGTCTCGTCCTGTCTAGGTGCGAGACCTGCAAACTGAAAAGCTTATAGTATAGAGGTCTCGTATCTGTAAAGTTCACTGTATAGTGTAGACTGTAAAGTTTACAGCCTGCAGGTCTCGTACCTGGTAAGTTTACTGTAGAATGTAGACTGCAAATTTTACATTCTCCAGGTCTCAAATCTGTAAAGTTCATTGTAGAATGTAGACTGTAAAGTTTACAGTCTACAGGTCTCGTACCTGTAAAGTTCACTGCAGAATGTAGACTGTAAATTTTACATTCTACTGGTCTCGTACCTGTAAAGTTCGCTGTAGAATGTAGACTGTAAAATTCATGGTCTGTACATAGTCTATACAGACATAGTCTATACATAGGCTGTAAGGTTTACAGACTGTAAAGTTTACTGTCTACAGGCACAAGACCTGTAAAGTTTAGTCGTGACCTGTTTGACTAAATATAGTCTACAGGTACTAGACCTAGAATTCATAGTCT